CCTAACTTTAATATTGCTCCTGTTTGGGTTTTCTTCCTTTTCTCAGCTTCTTCTTATGTAGTCTTTTTGCCTAAGTAGTGTTGCTAACATAAAATTTGATATTGTTATGAATTTATTTTTATCTCATTAAAATGTTAAATAATTACTGATTGCCTTACACCACTGAAACACTTGATGATACAGATTTTGAAACAGCTGAATGAAATCTTTTAATCCCTTATATAAAGATATTTAAGATTTATACTGTCTCTTTCTATAGCCAAGAAATATATTTCTGTATGGATCTGATCGTCATGTCAAAATAGGAGATTTTGGATTAGCCTGCAAAGACCTTCTTTGGCATGATGCAGACCATTGGCTTAAGACAAACAGGATAAATGGTAAGAAGAAAAAGTTTAGTAGGTCTCAATGCTGAAGTTTGTTATTAAAAATATATATATTTATTTCATAAGTAAAATGAAAAAAATAGTTGAGTAACTTTAAACTGACTTTTGAAAGGACTGACACATACTTCAGGAGTGGGTACTTGCCTCTATGCCTCACCAGAACAATTGCAGGGATCTCACTATGATTTTAAGGTAGGTTTTTTTTGGTTTTTTTTTGTTTTTTTTTTTTCCCTTTAAGTACTATTAAATATTATATGATTATTATATGATATTAAATATTATATGATATTCAGGTATAGCCTACAGTAATATGCCATATTTATCTGTGGAATTTCAAATGTAATCTTTCAGAAATTACCTGCCTAAGTTCAATAGCACTATTCCTCTACAAAGAAGATTTAAAGTAAAACTTAAATTTAACAATTATTTTTTTTCTGTAAAGCATACTTACGATAGGTTATTGGAATAAAACATAAGTCTTTCAGTAAGCAAATGCATCACAGTTGGTAAATACTCATCCTGCTGGTACTTTTTTTCTGAAACATGGATTTCAATTTAGACTTGCGGATTACTAATGCAAAAACTAGTCATATTTCTAAAATAATCTTGAGGGAACTACAGAGATTTGAATTTGAGTAGCTTTATCATTGTCTGTACCATTCTATGTTTAGGAGAAAAAAAAAGAGAAATCTAAAAGTATCAGTTATCCCCTAACTTTTCCTTCACGCCTTTCCAGTCAGACATGTATAGCATGGGTGTTATCCTGCTAGAACTCTTCCAACCATTTGGAACAGAAATGGAAAGAACAGAAGTTCTCATGTGTTTAAGGAATGGCCACATTCCTAATACTTTCTACAAAAAATGGCCTATCCAGGCCAAGTATGTTAAGCTCCTAACCAGCAAGATACCTTCACAAAGACCAACTGCTGCTCAGCTTCGTGAAAGTGAACTGTTTCATACTGCAGAACATGTAAGTTTTGCCAATAACCTCACTTCTGATGAGAGAAAGAAAACTGCTTTGAACTGATCTCCTTGATTTCCCTGCCTCTATTATGCCCTCGCTGTTTATTTTTCATAACTTAAGAAGATTATGTGATTGAGAGACTTTACTTTTCTGATCATTATCTTTGGCTAACTCTATTCTTGTTTCTGGTCTCTTAAAGGAGGTAAAGGGCCATTAAGTAGAGATAGCAGTATGTAAGACTGGACATATGATTTAAAAACTTTGTTTGTTCCTTTTTCCTCCATCTTTGCTATAAAAGCTTTTGAAGCTTTATGTTAGCTTATGCAGGATCTTTGGAGTTTCCTTGCCCTGTGTTTTTTGTTGTGGATTATTTTGTTTGTTGTAAGATAAACTACCTGGAGTAACTGTGGTGCCAAGGAACAGGTCTTGTTTGTACTCGTATAGACACAGCTTTATTAACAAACTTTTATCCATGTCTGTCTATAAATGAAGTAAACTGACTCTCCCTTTCAGGTTATTTGTAATCTACAGCAGAAGGTGAGGCAACAAGAGGAAGAAATTGAAAAATTGAAGGAAAAAATAAGATTGCTTTCTGAAGAACAAGATGAACTTGGTTCTCCAGTTTAAGTATCAATCACTGTGTGAGAAGTCTTGTACATAGAACTTTTTTACATAAAATATTCCAGTATATGCTGTCCGATTTGTTTTTTTTTTTAAGAGCATGGTTTCTAGTGATTGGAAACTTATGTTGCACTTCGCCTTTTTTTAAAAAAAAAAACAAAAACAAAAACAAACAAACAAACAAAACCCCACGAGTTAAATTTTACCTAAGGTTATGAGTCACAGAGAAGACTCTCATAAGGAAAAAGTTGAAAATACAACTTTATTGCATAGGATTGCTCTAGATGCCTCAACCATTAAAATAAACACGTTTGTCACACTTCAGGTACAAAAGAAAGGAAGTTCACACCCAAAAGGCAATTGTAATGTTTTTATTCGTTTAAGAATTCTATTGAGTTATAGAACTTGAATTCATCTCAGAAAGGACTCAACCCACTACAGCAGGCACAAGGTGGAGTAATATTAAAACTACACCATTAAAAAGAATACATCCTTACTTCAACAGCTTAATAACAGAGGTGAAAGGTGCCAAGTTCTCGCATGCCTTCATCCATTTCTGCACGTTAGCTGGAGCAGCGTTGGCACTACCTGTCTGCTGCAGCGCGCACCATGCGACAATGTCTGCCACGGTGAGTTCATTTCCCACCAGCCACGAGGTCTTGCCAAGAGCTGCGTTCATGGAGCGCAAGACGGCTCCTTTCTCCTTATTGCTACCTTCTTTCAGCTGGAAGATGGCTGTATCAACCCAACTGTCAATCAGAGTTGAAGCAACCGCATTGTACTTCTGGCCAAGCAGGGAAAAGAGAAATCTAGCAATGTTCCCCTCTCCTTCAATAGGGCACATTGTTTGAATGCTAAACTTCATCTGGGGCTTCAGAACTGAAATTAAGAAGAAAAAAAAAAATGTATACCCCAAAATCATAACCAGGATGGTAAGAATTCAGAAATAGTGATAACATGGCAATCCATTTGTTATACCAACATCCTCATTAATGTAATTAGCCTATAACCTCTTCTCAGTTTTCTTAGTTAAAATACTTAAGTCTAAGGAAGCATGGGGCACAAAACGCTCTTCTCTTTCAAACTTCAGCCCAAACTCCCATCTAATTTATATTCTAGTAAGATCAGTTAGTTGTAGAATCTGTATCTAGAGGTTTTTGTATAGAAGTGTTTTTCAGGCAACCATCTTTCAAATAACAGGTGTATTAAGAGCAGTGATCCATAAACAGGAATCTTCCTCCTTTAGGGCTGCACCACTGTACAGAGCTATAAGAATTAAAGTTCATACTTGCAAAAAGAGCAAGTGTTGCATGTATAGTATAGCTTTATAAACTGTCAGGAAAAAAAAAAAAAAAAAAAACTAAGGCAAGGTTTTATAGTTTAAGCTTCATCTGTAAGATAACTTCAGACTTACCATCCTTCCAAATGAGAGTAAAGCCCAACTGATATTCTTGACGTAGCTGCTGCTTAGTCTGCTCACCAAAGCATTTCAAGAGGTTTTCTGGCACACTCTTCACTGATGAGTGTGTATGAATGGCTGATAATATTTTATAGCGTTCACAAAGCAGACTGTGCAGCACTAATAACGACAATGGAGGTAGAGAGGGATTTGCATTGATTACGATATCTTTCAGGGCGCCATAATCCTGCAAGCAAAGTAAAACTTTTAGCAGGTAAGACAAATAGACAGATGAAACATTCGAGAACTGATTTTTCGCACCAAAACATGTGAAATAAAACAATGGGTGAGTGTATCTGAAATTCTAATGATACTCTATTCATGTTTTGACACTTAATATTTACTTAACCCAATAACATTCTCTATGTTTAAATTCTACTCTAATCTGAACTCACAAGTTTCTAGCAAGCAAGCAAGTTTCCTGCAAACTAGAATCTACTGTCATAATTTTAAAGTCAGCTATTCTGTCTTGGATTTATAATCTCGATGCCCCAAATAAAAGAGTAATTGTAGGTTATGTAAAAATATAGGACTTGTATACTGAGCTTGAGTGTCCTGAGTTTTAATGCAACCCTTTCATCACTGAAGATCTGAGGGAAAAGGGAAGAAAATCTATCGGTAGATATTCTAAACTAAACTTACCTTTCCAAGCATCAAATCTAAATCTGCATTTGTTGTCAAGGGAGAATGTTGATCAGTTTGAATGATATTAGTTACATCAAAGTCAGCATCTGGAGTGTGGATCATCTTTGAGAGGCCATCAACAGCACTCTTCAGTTCGTACAGGCGTTTTAGGATCTCTTCTTGGCGAGATTCAAGTGCTTGAAGTGATGGGTCAACTTCTTCCTGTATGAGGGAAAGAAAAGTTAATTCAATATCCAAGAAGTGCACAGCTCACTTGACAGGAGGTTTTTGAAAGAATTTAGATGTTATTTGGATCACAAGCCCACATCAGGGAATATCACGGTCTGTTAGTCTGTATGAACATGGTGAAAGGTTATACCTTTCACAAACAAACCTGCAAAATCTTCCTGTTTAAAGTCTCTCTCTTTTTTTTTTTTTTCCCCTCAAGCTGTTAGCTACAGGAAAGAGGGACTCCAAAACTTAAAATAATCATACCGCAAACACAGAGCTACACAGATTGTATATTGAGGTTGAAAAATACAAACTTTTTTTTGGCAACTTGGATATTCAATGTTAGTTAAAGAAGTCTGCAATGATAGATAAATGGTATGAGATTACTCCTTAGAGTCATTCTTTGTTTCAGAGAATAGAACTTACTGATAAAAAAAGACCATTGATTAAGGAACATTGTTTCTTGGAAAAAAAGAATTTTCTCATATGTGAGTGGCTTTGTCCACAACTGTTACATCCTATTCCCAGTGTATCTTTTCATTATGTCCATTTTCCACTTAAAAGTCTCTTAGCTTACAGTGATATCTCTTTAAAAGATGAAAAATATATTTCTGTGGAAGGTTTTAGGTGCAGAAACTTACACTGAAGAAAAATCTATTTGATTTCTAAGCATCCTAAGTACAGCCATTAAAGAAACCCACTCACCCAACCTTCTTTCTTTTTATCACTGATGAAGATGACAAATAAGGTATTTCAAGCAAAATTCTGATACTAGCTTATACAATATTTTTAGATTAGATTCAGAAATGCTTTCTAGTGAGCACTAGTTACCAAATCCACAATTTAGTGATATAAAAACCCCTCCTGCAGGAGAAAACTGTTAACACTGTGTGTTGTAATGTAATTTATGCCCTCAGGCTTCAGTCCTGCCCGGGCTTGCATGGGCAGCACCAGCCAGCGCCCGCTCAGAATGTGTGAGGGCTCTAAAGGCCCCGTGGCACTGGGGAAGAGGGAAAATAAAACAGAATTCAAAGCATTCTTGGCATCGCACAGACAGCCTAAAGTCAACTCGATTAACGTAATGTCCTACTCTGCCTTTTTAGCCTTTTTCTCGCACTGTTATTAAGATAAAGGACAGCAGGAGGCTACGTAGAGCAGGTGCACGGCAGCCAGGCCCTGCTTCCACAGGAAAGCAGCAGGGTAACCCGAAGCGGAGGATGATGATGCAGCAGGAAGGGACGTGGCACGAGGCTGCTGCGCTATGGCCGCTTAAAAAAAAAATGTGTGCATGCACACACGTACATGTGCGCATATATACAGATATATGTATATGCAGATATATAAAAATGTATATATATATGTATGTATGAGAGAGTCCAGAGACACTAAACAGCCGTTAAAAAACGCTTTAAAGTAAGAAAAGTCTGGAAAAGCTGAGCTTATCTAGCCCTTAAAGGAGCCCCCAACGAGCGGGAGCGGCGAGCGCGGGCGGCTCCTGAGGTGGGCGCGCGCGGACCGGAC